ATTTAAGAATTTTTAAATTGGTTAAAATTTTACATGAATACACTCTAATCAAAGTTTTTTTTCGTGTGGAGTTTGTATCTTTATAATTCGTTGATATGAGGTGAAGACCTATTAAGTATGTAGCTATTCCACATGTTATATAACCTAATTAAATTTTTCACCATAGACATGCACGTAAACAAGACATTTCGCATGCATCTGTAACTCATTATGCTTGCAAAATTATGAAAAATAAATTAAGTGATTAGTAAAGATTCATGTTTATTTTGAGGAAATTAATTTGATAGCGCAAACTTGTCAAACGTATTAAATGACCTTAAATAAGTTTGAACAGTTTCTATATTTGTTGAAACGTTCTATGATTGTGAATGGAAATTCATTATACAATATGACATAAAAACTCATCCAAACTAACTTTAAGAGTATTTTTAAGGTTTTAAATTAAAATTTGTGTAAGTGCTTGTATTAGACATAAAGTTTTTTTATAATCAAACTATAATCAACAGATATCTGGTTTTTATAACAGGTTGAGAATTTATACTATTTTACCTACCGCAATCATCGGTACTTTATTTAGAGAATAATGACTTGTTTAACCACAACGTGAACTCCTTAATCTGAAAATTGTCGCCATAAAATCCAACACCCAAACTTTTCGCAGGGTGTAAAACTCCCGGGCTGGTATTAGCCGAGTCACGTGCCTGTTCCCACGCTTCCCTGATAAATAATTCCTGGAGCGAGGTAATCCCCCGGGATTGCAAACATCTTAGCGCCCTAATAATATGTCACTTCCCTGCAACCCTACCCGGCTACTCTGCTATCGACTAACCCATTTATTCTGTAGGATTTCGAAAAATCTTTAGATAAAACATTTACGATTGTGAAAAATAATTATGAGTTTGAACATGAAAGAAGAAAAATTGTTCAAACACTATATTGAAAGGATATGGTTGTAACGTTATATAGTCAGGGTTAGAGGTAACTTACTTTGTGAAGACAGTGTAGTTAGCTGTAGATAGTGGTAGTAACTAGAACGAGGCAACATAAATAACAACAACTGTTATGATGAATTTTTCGTTTTGAGGAAAAATATCGAACCATATGTAGAATCCATAAAGCTAGGAAAAGATGTAGGTGAGGTTGAGATAAGGTTGAATTGAGGTCTATGTTCTTCAGATCATTGCTTAACCACACTAAAATTATAATTAACATCTCTGATCGTGTCAAGGAAATTCAAAGATTAAAAGAAAGTAATGAAGGGTGCCATCTGCATATGAATGAATGTTACAACACTTTAATTGACTCGCAAGATCAGAAGTGTACGCTGAGAAAAAGATGGGCCCCAGGCAACTACCTTGCGGAACGCCTCTATCCTTCGACAAAAAGATGTAAAGAAATGGAACCATTCATTAGGACAAAATTGATATTGCAATAACGTACTTAAAATATCAACGGTCTTATTAGAATATCTCAGGGTTTAAAGTGCGACCACTCGCATAAAGAACTGATTGATCTAAATTAATTTGATTGGTCTTCAGTTTGTATACAGGCACACAATCAAATCCATTATATTAAATAAAACTTAGGAATCATAAATACATATGTATGTAGAATTTTTGTTAATAATGGCTTCCACTATATAGTACCAGACATTTTATAAAATGGAATTAATAAACAGGTAGTAAAAACAATCTTAGTTAGCACACCCATTATGTGTAATGGTAGCTGTAAAAAAGTAGTTTATGAAACCATATAGAAATGTACGACTAACGAAATGGTTTTATTTATGAGATTTTTAACAGATTCCCTTATTCCATTAAGTGGAAAATATTGCCCTTATCCCCACATCGTGGTTGTAACTCACATTTCGAAATCTTTCATCGGTTTTCCAATAAGACGCTTTTGTGCAGTTCAAAAGCCCAATTTCGTTGGGAGAAATAACGTTTTGAGGAGAATGAGGCAGTAATAGCGAGGTCTTCTGCTAGACTGGGCCCAACTTTGGCATCTCTGCTGCTTTTTGATGCGGGCTGAACCCCGGCGTTTGTACCTTTGTGTGTGTAATGGACCTGAATAAACCTACGGAACTTGCAAGCGCTTAATTGAAATCGTTCATTTGTTTTACAAATCAGTCCCTTAATTTGGATCGCGCTTGATTGCATGTTTGTTTCGTCAGGTGTAATGAGATTTGAGTATCATTTAGGAGTAACGAGTGTCGGTTAGTGTTGATTTCAATATTTGTGAGAGAGTTATTCCGTTTATCTTTGTACACTAAGGAGTGTATTGAATTTCGTATGCTTAACAATTATGACTAATTGTAGCATTTTGAAATTTTTTTATGTGATCTTGTTTTGAATGATCAACATAAACTCAGTTCTATAACACAATCTAATCCAATTAAATGTTATGAGGTTCAATTACTATGTTGACTTGGCCAAAGTATGAATGTTGTCAATTTGGCTAAATTAAAGAGTTCATGAGTGTTTTAGTAATGATGTGTGTTAAGTTACTGTAGACCGGTTAGAAAACCGAAGACGGTTGTTTTCGTTGACTTAGCTGAACTTAACAACTTAACTGGTTTGTTAAGTTGTTGACTAAGATTCCTTTGTTGCTTATCTGGTAGTGGTAATATAAATCTACTTCAAATCTATAAGCCACCAGTTTCTCCTCAAAAAAAAAACTGCCTAAGAAGATTAAAGGGTGTTTTAAGGGGGTGTTGTTCAAGTGGTGTTGCGAAAAAGTAGTATTAATATTACCCCTTACTTCTCAACATACTTCCCGTATTCGTAAAATGTCGTCAATTGGAGTTTAAGTTGGAATGTAGTAGTAATTCGTTAGAATGAACTAAAATTCTTCTCCTAAACCTTCTTCTTCTTGAATTCCAGCTGGTGATTCCCCTATTTTCTTGTACAAGCTACAAACCCACCTGTAAGCCATGAGCTTCCTTCGCAGATGGCTTATCGATCAAGAAGCTCCTGGCAACAGTGTTATTATAATCGATCGTGTTCGCACGCACGAGACGTCCATAAACACCAATTTGTGCCTGTCAGTCACCGGTTTGGAACACGCCCTGTAGACGGTGGGTGTATAATACACACGTCATACACTATACACTATACAATGTACACTGTTGAAGAAAGCACGAAGAACTAAATTGAACTTGTTGAAGCACACTTGTTGGTAGTCCTGTTGATTTTACCACATAAAACCGTGGTACTTAAATACTTCGTCAAAGATTAAATATAGTGTCTTGTAGACTTGCTATGTTAATAGATCAACTGAATTCCATATCTTATTTTTGTATAGAATATATCACTAACCTTGTGACTATGATGACCAAATAGAACGTTTAATTTGTGTATGTACTCTCAATTCATATAGATAAATTAACCTCGTAGGTATTTACAATTAGAACTATCTGCTGTTTCAATACTTTTGGTGGTTTGTCCCCTATTATTACATCTACAGAGTTAAGCAGATGTAAAATTTAACCTCAAATAAAATAAAATATGCAATGCACTCAAAGCTTTTTGGACAAGAAATACAAATAAAAAAGTTTAATTTTTCAATAGGTACTATAAGGAGACTTCTTGTAGAATTGTTTATAATAAAATTTGCCTGTCATAAATTCAAATCTTTCTCAAATTTACAAACACTCAATTTTACTAAACATCTAATTTCTTTCTCATTACTATTTTGGTTATGGTTCAATACACATTCTACTCTAATTTTAATTCTACTTTGTCTTACCACAAGGATTATTTTCAGGGTTTGTCAAGACGTCTTTTAACCTTGTGTCACGAGTATGTGAGGGATGAAATTAGAGATTCAGGAGGGTCCTTGTAACAGTAACCACTAACCGGTTTAAAACTAGTTCTTTCAACTTCATAAAATGATCAGTAGCAGTTTCTTTCGTAACTATCTAATATTTCATTCATAGTGCAGTTAATAACAAGATGACAGTTTCAATTTAGTTCAATAATTTTCAAACGTTTAGTCAAAACAAGACTTATAAAAGAGATAGAATCGTTATTTAAAAGTAAAGTCATACTTAGTTCCTTTTATTTATAATCTTTAAAAACTGCTCTGAAACTTTCAAATTAACTATTTGACTGTAATAACCTATAATTTGTAATACATTTCCTAGGAGATGAAGGATTGTGTCATACTACGATACATATTCGTTACACCTTTTGAAATGATCACATACACACAAACCACTAAAACTCTTATGAATAAAACTGTTCATGAAAAGTTAGTTTACTTTCTTATTGATATACAACACCAAACCGTCCGTTTATCAATGGCTAAATGAACTTCGGAGAAAACATTTGATTAGTTAGTAGGACAGGAAAAATTTTACTTCTTGAGTCGGTAATATATTCTCATTTTCAAATAAGGTTTAAATTAGGGAGAGCCTGGGTTTGGTAAACAAATATAAAGTGGCATAAACAGTAGAAAAAAGTACACATTAAACATTATTGGTTATTTATTGAACAGCGATCCTATAGAGGAATGCAAATCTATCTAACAGCCTGTCATGAAAAGTGATCCAAGGGTTTCTAACCTCAAATGGTAACCATTTCAAAAAAGAATTATTATAATGATCACAGTTGTCTTAGGTTAGCTCTCTTACACACAACAAATTACGACTTTGCAAAACTTTGCAGCTGTTTGTTTATATTTCAAAAGATATTCTTGAATAACTTATGTTTATTGTACAATTTTTCAAATTACCTGGGTCAAGTTTGAGCCAGGTGTAAATGCAATTTCCAAAGCAAAATTGATTTAATGGTCCGATATAAATTGTTATAGACATTAGCAACACTATGTGATAAATATTTTTAAACATTACAAATGTTATCAGACTATTCTAATGCAGTAGCCTTTACTTTATCTTTAGTTGCTGAAAGTATAGTATGATTTTTACGTCATCGTAATATTGTATTTTGTAACAGTACGTAAGAGTTACAGGTTATAGCAGCTAGTCACGTGACACCCACCTGTATGGTAGAGGATGGTGCGGCCAGTATCAGTGTCGGAGGGTAGCGGCGACTGCGGAGGCGGACTGGGGGCAGTGGCGGCGGCGGTGGGACTAGACGGACCCCAGCACTGGGGCGAAGGCCCGACAGCATCTCCTACGACGTCGATCTCTTCCTCCTCCTCCTCCGCAGCCTGGGGCCACGGGTACGACTTCCACTTCTTGGCCATCAGACAGCGCGGCATTATCACGTGGGGGAGGCAGCGTTGGGAGGGAGGTTGCGGGGCGACATAGACACAGAGACACACACAACACACAAAACCAGCGAGAAGAATAAGGAAAAATAAACACAAAAAAGAGAAAAAACCGAACCGAACAAATCGACCCCAGAGGCTCGTGCGGTTTTTTGAACCGGAGCGCCTCTGAGCGACCGCTTATATAGGGCGCAACACCCCGGCCCCCCTCCAGTGTGCGCGCGCATCGGGGCTTCTTACACCCCTGAAAAATATGACGGCCCTCTGGTCGCCCCTCCCCTCGAGCCGCCCCCACCGCTAATTGGAGGTGACTCTCGACTGTTGCTTCGTTACGTCACGTGTTATTCAACAATACACACAACAATAAACAGCATTGTTGCGGCGTAAACAATGGTGTCGCAGGTCATTAGTGTGAAGTTTTCAAGTAGGTGATTTTCTCTTACAAAGCAGATTTTGTTATTTGATACACAACTATGCAGTAATTAGTAGTGAAATAAGTAGTGAATTAGTACTTTTAGAAGAAATAGAATACAATATTTTTTTATACGGGGTAAACTAATAACACTCAAGCAATAGTTTTATTTTCAATCTAAATTTTACGCTACCTATTTGTTTTGAAGAGTAACTTCAACATTTTACTCAATTGATTTATATAATAAATTGAGCCTATTTTAATTTCGTATCTCGTACCATTCTTGGAAAAAAGTTTAACTGTTTTGTGAAAAACCTTAAATTGAAAATATTTTCCGAGTTATTAATTGAACGTCGGGAATGTTTGGCTAGTATGATAGTAATAATAAGTTATTCAAATTTTGACTATATAATTGACCCTGAAGACAAAAAAATTAATATAAATGTCTACGTAAACTTCATTGTTAACACTGTGTAAGAAGATTCAAGCACCGTAGACAACTGTAAAAAGATACACTGATGTACTCTTTTGCCTCTTGGTGGAAGGAGAATTTATAACGAATAAAATACAAAGACTATACAAAGAAAAAGAAAACCCGTCAACTTATAATAATACAGTTATAAAGTTAAATAAATTATTATCATTAAAATAAATGCACACACGAGGTGTTTAAATGACATCTACATCATTTTATTTTGTTTGCAATCGACTGAAATATTATATATTTATTAAAAGGTCATAATTATTATTATCCACTATTACCTGCGAATTGTACTGTAAAATAACTATAACTAATAACTAATATTACATACTGCACACTCTCCTCAACCGGAAAGGAACTTAATAATTTCCATTCTCGAAAGAACATCCATCCACAGAGCTATAAAGAACTAGTTTTTGTTTAGAATGTGAGTAAGAATGCATTGTGTGTTAAATTTGGATGTTTTTCGTGCTTTGTTTTTTTACAAGACCGATACAAATTCTATTACTCTTTTAAATTTAAATTTTAATGCCTCTAAGCGAATTAAAAGCAAAAATTACATGACAAGCAAATATTTGTTAGTAATCCACGTCGATGGACTTATACTATCTGTAAAATAAAACACAGAAATTACTTAAATATAATTAAGATAAAACGTACAGGAAATATCAATGTCAAGAAATCTAACTTTTAGGGAAATGGCACGAAGAGTTTTTAAGTGTTTGTAAGTTAATTTAAACATAAAATAAAACTAACATAATAGAACATAATGTAATCCAGTTCAAGAAGTTCAAAACACAAACAAATACTGCCTCCGTACTGCGACCGGTAAATAGTAGGCCTACTAAGTGTTAAATGTTTCGTATCGTGTTTTGTGTATTTATTTAAATGTTTTTTGACGAGTCTACAATGGACGAAACGTTCTTGAAGGACCACTTGACAATGCCTATGTATAGGCGAAACATGTAGTGGGTTTGACCATACATCTATGAACTGTGGACGTGAAGGTATGTGCCTTAAATTTTAGTCTAATCATCAGTTCAGGGGCTACACAATGAATTTTAATACAAACAAAATTCTAGCTGATAAACAATAAAATCAATATGATCTGTGTACAGACAGTTAAACAGTCTCGAAAACTCTGTGCAAACTATCAGCGAGAAAAAAGTTTATGTGCAGTTTGGAGCATGTGAACTGCAACCTATAAATGAGTCGATAGTATCAAACGAATCATCATGCTAAATTTATAGTTTAGCTATTTAGCCGTACGATCCTGGCTACAGAAAGAGTCTACGTGCAGGGTGCTCTGCAACCTGTACGTCGTCGCGTAGTACATTAGTAAAGAGGATACTGATTTTGGAAATATTATTTTAGTATGGTAGTATGCAAACTAATGCCACACATGCCATTGAACATCACTATGAAATACGTACAGTGGTGTGTCATAATTGAAGTTATTTAAACTACTTTTACTAAGCTAATTAATTCAAATCGTCTTTTGACCAACAAAAAACTGTTGACGCAATGATAAATATGTGGTATTTTTTACCTTTTAAGATAAATGACAATTATTTTAAACATTATGTAACCTTATAAAGATACACTTCTTGCAGTGGCGTTGCTTGGTTAAATTCTAGGGGGGGGGGGGAGAAGCCTCAAATTTCCCAACTGCTTAACATAGATTTCCCAACTATTTTTTATAAAAAAAATCAATTTGCTGTACTATTTTTAAAAATCTACAAATTATCATACAACATTGCAGTCACACTCAATTCAGTATTTATTAACTTGCATTAACAAAACATAGCTAGTTTTACATGTATACAAAATTACTCAATTCAAAAAACGTCTAAAACTTCTACCAATTCATAATGAAGTTTTATGACTTCAAAAACTTGAATAAGTATTGCTTCAAATCCAAAAAACTTTACAAACCATTGTGGTAGCAGTGTAAAATTTTAGGGATATAAAATAAGCCTAGTACAAATTAGTATAGAAAAACAATATTTTATTACAAAATAATGAAATTACAATGCTTTTAGAAGTTGATATTAAGATCAACACTTTAACTTTCATAAAACTTACAACTAGGCCTAAACAAGTTTGTAATGATGAAATATTATTATCAGTGTTGTGAATAATATTATTCTAGTCTAGAAAAGAATAAACCTAAAATAAGACTTGTATAAAATAAAAACGTTCAACTTGGTTGATAATAAACTTATACATCCAATAAAAATGTTAACCTTCACCTTCATCAAACTAGAACTTGGACAAAAATCAAACTCAAACGTGAAAGTCAAACATCAAATTTTAGGTTATGTTTTGTCTATTGTCTATGTAGATCTGTTTCAGAGTGATTAGTTGATTCATTTTTGTAAATTCTTAATTAGGAATGATAAATCACTTTTGTAGATTTTTTAGATAATATTCAGAGAATAAATATTTCATTTAGGTTATTAAAAATTAGAGTTTTAAAGGCAATACCGATATACAAAACCTATCTTTAATGTTATTTTAATCTACCTATTAGCAAGTACTCCTGTCAGTAAGCCTGCTCCAAATACTACTAAAAAAGGTATAAAATATAGTTTATTTGACTGACATGAAAAATATTTTTGAACTTCTTGTAAACACTAACAAACAACATAATTGAACTGAATAGCTACGCCGCTTGCACTTTCAAAATTCAAACTCGCAGTCTCGCAGACGGATCATTCAGAAAATCATCAACACAGGACAGGATCAAGGTAGCCAACATACGTCCAATAAGGAACAAAATTTCTCGTAAACGAAATTCCAACAAACTATACCGCTAATTGGTTAACGATTTCTTAAAATAAGGCGTGTTTAGCCATGGTTTAGCCTAGTTTAATCAAAGTTAAATTAAATCAAAGAAACATCAAGTTTATTCGTCCAAGTCAAAGAAATTTTGATCTTTGATGGATTTTCGCAAATATTTTTAAATTTTATTTAGTTTAAAAATATATTTTTCTTGTATCTGATTTCCCAACTGTCCCAACTCGTGGCAAGGAAATTCCCAACTTTTCTCTTTCCAGGATTCTAGGGGGGGGAGGCTCCCCCCCCTACCCCCCCCCCCCCCAAGACGACGCCCCTGACTTCTTGGTTTAACCAGTGTTACATTAGAAATATTATAATACATTAACTCCTTGTCCACTTACATTTGGTAGGTTTTTGGTATAAACAACAATCCCTCTACAGCTTGTTTTATTTTTTCCTACTTAAAATGTAGTTTTAAATGAATCTACATCTATTACTATTATACCTGAAAGTAAAAAAAATACCTCAAATTACACACTTGAAATAATGCAATACATATTTACTCACAAGACGGTAAATACATTTAAAGGATTGCAATAAAGATGGTTTTTCGCCTATGGGGTCTGATGATGATTGGAGAGTCCAATCGAAATCTCTCACCACTCACCATCTTTTATAAGAATTAACCGCCTTCAGAATCAAAATCAGAATAGTTTTGTTGCCAAAATAATACAGAAATGTACAGGGCAAAAGTCACTAAAACCAAACAAGTAAAATCCGACCCATTAAAATAAATATACAAACTTCAAACTGTACAAACTATGTACATTTTTAAAACGAAGAAACACTCTAAAACTCCTCATCAACTAAATGTTCCCTCAGACCATGCTTAATTTTTTTTATAATTTTCGCCATTGATTGTATTAAGAAGAGAATTAAAAATACGGATACATGGAGAAAGACTGGTTTTTATGAAAAGTGGTACTGGATCGTGGAATAGGTAGGTCAAAGTTACTTCCAAGATTGAATGACTCTTCTAATATGAAACATTGTCAAATTTTCTTTTAGAAAGTCATAGATTCAAAAATGAAAATTTATGGGAAGGTCAGACTATTATTTATATGAAAATAAAAAGGGATCTACAAGACTCTCTTTATTTTAGGCTGGAGATTAATTTGATGGCTCTTTTTTGCAGTTTGAATATTTTCTTAGTTTGACGTTTGTCGTTACCCCAAACGGGTGCACAATATGTAAGAAAAGGGTAAACAAGACCGTAATAGGAGTAGGTTGTGATCAACGACATCCTGTGCGACAACAGTTTTAGTGTAAATATACACGTATTTTTGTACTTTCAGGTAATTTAATAACAATAAAGATGCTGATAAAGAAGCTATTTACTATTATTCCTACGTATTTTTACGTACTTTCAGTAAATTTAACATCACAGACAACGCGGTTCAATAAATT